CTTCCCTCCCCTCCCCTTTCCTTTCTCCTTCCCTTCCCTTCCCTTTCCTTTCTACTTCCCTTCCCTTCCTTTTCCTTCCCTTTCTTCTTCCCTTCCCTTCCCTTCATTCTTTTCTTCCTTTCTTCACCTGGAGGCATCGATGGTGAGAAAGTCTTCTTTTTGTGAGAAGTCTATCTTCTTGTTTAATAGAATAAATAAATAAAATGTGTACTGGTTTTAATAAAGAATTATAACTATTTTTTAAAGAAATGTGTCAGTAGACATCTATGAGAAAAAGCATATTGTATACAGAATCCCTGTAAATAAAACATATAAAATGATAATCATCCTATGTGAGCAGGGGTGGAGACTAGAACCCTTCTTACTTAGATTCTCTCATAGCAGTGTTTGAGGTACCTTCATAGAACAAACGATGTCAAGGCTCATGTTTGAAAATCACTTGAGAAACAAACTCTATAGACTGTGCTGTGGAGGCCTGACCACGGCACAGTCTGATGACAGGATATCCTAAAAAGCACGCTGAAATAGCCCCTCAAGGGCTAAACTTGACTCAGCACTGACATTATAAACCTAAAACTTTGAAATAATCACTGTTCAAAACTATTGTGGAGAGGGATGCAGGGGAGAACTGGGGCTTGATCAAAGCCTTGGGGTGTCCAAGGTAGAGCTAGAACAGGGATTCAAGACCATCTGGTTCTTGGCCTAATGTTTTTCCTACTTTTTTCAAAATCTAATTATGTTGCCTTTTTCTAATTGTCTCTAGTTTCCTGGAAATCTATAATGAACGGGTGCGGGATCTATTGAAGCAATCAGTTCCCAAAAAGTCCTATCAAACCCTGCGGGTCAGGGAGCATCCAGAGATGGGGCCATATGTACAAGGTGAGCTACTGTGGTCCTGGAGACCTGAGACCAAACGGAAGCCTGGGAAGCTCTCCTGATATTCACTAGTTCATTCAGCATAGGGTAATGAGGATTTACTATGTGCCAGCTACTATTCTAGACACCAATCCATAGAAAGATGTGGTCCTGACCACACAGGTAAGCTTATAACCTAGTGAATCTAGGGGGCATGAGTCAAAAAACAAATCCTTAATTACAAGTTATGATAAAGGGTAATGAAAAAATAAGTAGATGCAGCGATGGAAAAGAATATTGGTAAGCATAGATGACCCACCTATCTGAAGTGGTCAGGAACACCTTCTCAACTTTTCAGCTGAGACCTGAATGGAGTACAGGAGCCAGTTATGTGCAGAGTGGTGTAGCTAGGAGAGGGGCATGAACTAGAGCCCTGGGAGTGGCTGAAGCACACCATGGTAAGTGAGGGGGAATACGATGTAGAATGAGCTTGGGTCCATGGACACCAGATTTGGCAGGACCTCAGCTGGTTCCCAGGCCAGCCAGTGTCCTTTCCAGGGTCCTTTTTCTTCAATTGGTGGTGATAGTCGGAAGGGTAGGAGAGATGGGGAGATGTCAGACATGTAATGGGGTAGGACCTGATATGCGTCCTCATCAAGCACCAATGTTGGGTGTTTGTACCTTCTGCCTTAGTTGGGTTCTTTTGTAGATGAAGTCTTTACGCTTTCAGGCCACTTGTAAGAAGTAACATAGAGCCAAGTGCAGTGGTGCATGCCTATAGTCCGAGCTGGGAGGCTGAGGCAGGAAGATCACTTTAGCCCAGGAGTTCAAGGCCAGCCTTGAACATAGTGAGACACTGTCTCTTAAAGAAACAAAAAAAGTAACATATAAATTGTATGTTTCTGTTCCTAGAACATTTCCCTAATTTGAATCCTTCAAGGAGAGGGAACCAGTCTCTTCTCTTCTTAGGGTGTGGCCAGTGAATGACACAGTGGGTGTGACAGTCACTCATCTGCTACCTATGTCTTTTCCCAAATATTCCAGCCTGGAAACAACAACAAAAATACCATTTACTTGGCTAGGAGCCAGTTTGAGTCTTCTCTATAAAACTCTGCCAGGCACCCCATGGCTCACACCTCTAATCCAGCAACAGGAGAGGGTGAGGTGGGAGGATCACTTCTGAGGCCAGGAGTTTAAGACCAGCCTGGGCAATGTAATGAGACCCTGCTGCCTTAAAAAACAATCAGCCGGGTGGCGCCTGTGGCTCAAAGGAGTAGGGCACTAGCCCCATATACCGGAGGTGGTGGGTTCAAACCCAGCCCCGGCCAAACACTGTTGTTGTTGTTGTTGTTGTTGTTTGCAATCAGCCAAGTGTGGTGGTGTGTACTTCTATCTCAGTTACTTGGGAGGCTGAAGCAGGGGGATTGCTTGGGCTAGGAGTTTCAGGCTACAGTGTGTTATGATGGTGCCACTACACTCCAGCCTGGCAACAGAGCAAGACCACATCTCAAGAAAAACCCTCACAAAAACTCAGAAAACTTTTGTAGGTACATATTTCCATGTAGAGTAGTACTTTCAAGGCAGACCATGAGTTGATGCAACAGTATCAGACTTCTCATCTTAAAATACATGTGTGTGGGCTCGGCGCCTATAGCTCAACCGGCTAAGGCGCCAGCCACGTACACCTAAGGTGGCGGGTTCGAATCCCCAGCCCGGACCCGCCA